ATTCCATCCAAAAGGTGATGATACAAGTGTCCGATGTGCCTTGACAGCTCTGTTACCTGTCACTGGGCAAAATGAGTGACCTCACAGTGAACAGTGGGCAGTTGACACACCTGATCTATTTAATGAAACTCATTTGTGTTGGCTCCCATCAGCCATCCTCTGATGCCTACATCCCATTTCCCTGACTGGGAATCATCAGGTATTAACTTCTTTTATGCCTTTACATTGGATTTATTGTAGCACGTAATCCTCAGGCAGCTAAGAAACATTGCTGTGGCATTAGAAACTATGTGACTTTTTCTCCTGTTCTTTTTAGGGATTGGTTTGCATCTTAATGGTCTTTAAAGTAATTCTGGTTTAAATAAATTGGTATTCAAGTTAAGAATTTAATTTCTGGCTATTGTATATTACACTTTGCTTTTAAATTTTATCCTTTACTGATTATTTTGGGAAAAGAAATATTTTTCCCTCTTCTTAATGTTTGTATGTCTATTTAATCTTAGCAGTGGTGCAAGAGAGATTAAAAGAACAGGAACCAGATGTATATTGCAACTCTTAAAGAAAAAGCATGGTTGTACTCTTTTTCTGTGATTCTGTAGTACTTGCCAGGTGATGTTCTGCTGGCACAGTGGTTAAAGCATTTGGCTGCTAACCAAAAGGTGGGTGGTATGAACCCACCAGCAACTCCATGAGAGAAAGATGAGGCAGTCTGCTTCTGTAAGATTTACAGCCTTGGAAACCGTATGGGGCAGTTCAACTCTGTCCTGTAGGGTCCCTTGAGTTGACTGACTTGATAGTCAATTGATTGATCAAGCCATCTGCCCTTTATGGTATGATATTGCCTTGTCTTATGTTAAGAACAGAAACGTTTCATAGTTGGTGTAGACTTACTAAGAACGTTCCATAATAGCTACTGTAAGATAAACAGAAACTATTTGAATTCAGAGAAAAATGTTTCATATATATTTGCTATTTCTCTTAAATTTATGTATTTCAAATAATTCTTCAAAACAGTGAACTGAACTTAGAGCTAGTTTTTTTTTTTTTTTTTTAAGAATAAAATTTGGTGTTTTATTTTTAGGTGGTTATTTCACATACATTTAAGAACCAGAGTAAATAAAACTTTCCCAAAGAAAAGATTGGTGAAGAGGGAGGTTGTGGCATTGCATTATTTTGAATTAAGGGGGAGGGGTGATTGGACTATGTCTCTCTGAGAGGTTGTTTAGAGGGTGTGTTCTGAAGCCACGTTGCCTGAGCTCAAGTTCTTGCTCTGTTGGCTACAAGCTGTGTGCTTCTGTCCAAAATGGGAGTAACAGTAGTGCCTATTCAGAGTTGCTGTGAAGAATGAGTGAGATAACCCACTGGCTGGCTATTACTTGCAGAGTCAATTAAGGATCTCTTGGCCTATGAACATCAAAATACTAAAGAAGACACTAAACACGATCTAAAATCTCTACTTTCTCCCAGCATCTGAAATTGTGTTAATTGTAAGCTTATTTGTAAGAGACTTACTAGAAGGTAACGGTCATTTACATACCTGAATTTCTTTAAACACACTAAGTTCCTTCCAACTTCAGGTGATGTTTAAGAATGGGGGAGGGGTTTGATGGGAAGCAAAAAGGTAACTGCCATGTAGCACATGGGGATGCAGGTTTGGTGGTAGGCTCTGGTTGGAGCATTGTTAGCTTGCCCTTAGTTCGGCCCCTGAACCATGGCAACCCTGTGCACAAGAGAAGGAAATGCCGCCGGGCCCTGTGCTGTTCCCATGATTGTCTGTGAATCCAAATGTTGTGATCCGTAGGGTTTTCATTAGCTGAGTTTTTGAAATATCGCCAGGCCTTAATCTGGAAGCTCCACGAAACCTGTTCAGCATCGTAGCAACATGTAATCCACCACTGACAGACTGAGAGAAACAGAAACTTGGAGCACATACCTCTGAGGGTGTGCTACAAAACCAGTTGTTGTTAGGCGCCATTTTAACTCCTAGGGACGTTTTGGGACAGAGTAGAACTGCCTGCCCGTAGCGTTGGAAGGCTATAATCTTTATGGGAGCATATCCAGATCTCCAAGTTTTTCTTTCACAGAGCTGCTGGGTGGGTTCAAACCACCAAACTTTTGGCTAGCAGCCGAGAGTTTCACTCTTGCTCCACCAAGGCCAAATATAAAATGCATGTTCTGGGGCCTTGCTGAATTGCATCAAAATGCAAACAGAGCTATCTGTTCATTCACTTCACATTTCCTGAGAACATTTAAGCATCAGAGAGTGAGGAAATACCAAGATATGTATGCTCCTCATATTTGAAAATCTCACAGCCTAAGAGATAGCCACCGCTCTGTTGTTGTTGTTGTTATGTGCCGTCGAGTCAGCCCTGACTCATAGCGACCCCTCCTTGGGTTTCCGAGGCAGTATCACTACAGAAGTAGGATTGCCCAACCTTCCTTCCGAGGAGTGGCTAGTGGGTTTGAACCGCCAGCCTTCTGGTTAGCAGTCAAGTGCCTTAGCCACTACGCTACCAGAGCTCCCAGCCACTGCTCTAGAAGCAAATAAAATACAGTGCAAGGGAGGGACTCTCTAAGAAGGACACATGGGGTCGCCATGCGCTGGAGTCGGCAACTGGTGTTTATGACGACACAACCTAGTGAGGGATTAACTCTGGGTGTATCAGAGGAGGTTTCACACAGGTGCCATCTGGGAAGGGCCAACACTCTTCAGTTTGAAACACCCTTGTAAAACCTGGCGCATGGAGGAGCATGACGTGGCTGGAGACTCATGGACATGGCCTGCTAATCATTTGCATCGAAGTCTGAAAGGTAGTCTCTGCCGTCCTAGGAATCTGGCCTGGCTCTTGGACACTGGGATTCTTTCCAAAAGTGGTAGCTCCCTTAGGAAAATTCTCATTACCACTATGGTGAATATTTGTGATCTATTTATTTTATTTATTTACTTTTTTGAGGAAAAAAAAAATAACAGTGACATACTTAAGCTAACTTTTATCTAAATTTTTTATTAGTAGACCCTGGCAGTACTTCCTCCTCCAAGTCCTGCTGAACAGAGAAAGAAACAGATACAAGCTTTTGACACTTTCACCTTAACTTTCTTATGTCCTTTGTTCATAATAATCAGTTCAGTGTGATGGAACAGCAAGTCTGCCTTTTTACCACAAATTTCAATTTTTGGCCCCTAACTGTAAGGAGGTCTGGTGGTGCTGTAGTTAAACCATTGGACTGCTAACCAGAAGGTCAGTGGTTAGGATCCACCAGCTGGTCTATGGCAGAAAGATGAGGCAGTCTGCTTCCATGAAGTTTTACAGCCTTTGAAACCCTCTGTGGCAGTTCTTCTCTGTCCAGTTAGGTCACTGAGAGTCAGAATTGACTAGATGGCAGTGGGATTCATTGTATTGGCATACTGTTGTGTATTAGTATGCATTTCGTCCTGTGCTGAGGATGTTTCTCTAGATGGACAACTTCTAATAATAGGAATTTATCTCACAAGAGTGATGGTTACCGTTATCACGTCAAGGCATTTTAGAATTGGAAGACACCCTGAAGTTCACTGGTGCAAATTCTCACCTAATGCAGGATTCTCTCATTATCTCCTTTGTGGGGAAAAACAAAACAACAGCAACAAGACCAACAAAATCCCCAAAGGCAGTGCATTGCCCTTGCTTTAATACACGTGGGATAAAGAATTAAGAGTTTCCCAGGGAAGATCATCCCACTTCATAGTATTTCTAGTTCTTAGAAGGGTCTTATGATCTGCTTTTGCAGGAGTTGCATTCATTGATCCCATTTCCGCCCTCTGGAGATAAATAAATATAATTCTGCTTGTACCTGATGACCCTTTAAATATTTCAAGACTGATATTCTTCCATTTTCTGTCCCCTTAACATTTATCTTTAAACTTGAGAAATGCTTCCAGTTTATTTGGAGCTGGGTAACCCTGCTCTGGAGCTATATCAACCAAACCCACTGTTGTCGAGTGGGTTCCAACTCAGAGTGACTTTTAGGACAGAGTAGAACTCCCACAGAGGGTTTCCAAGGTTGTATATCTTTATAGAAGCAGACTGCCTTATCTTTCTCCCACAGAATGGCTTATGGGTTCAAACTGCCAACCTTTTGGTTAGCAACTGAATGCCTTAACCACGGTGCCATCAGAGCTGCACTTGAACTAGGAAGAAATAAAAGCAAACTCACTGTGGGCATTGATTCTCACTCATAGCTACCTCCTCTGGGCTGTGAGTCCATCAGAGACATGATTTGCCTCCGATTTCGTGTGTATGCATATTGCACGAGAACAGTGACATAGCACCGGGGCTTGAAGTGAGTTAGATTTGTAACCCATATCTTCTCTAAAAGCATTCCAGTATCAGTTAGACATTTTAAAACATTATTTCAACTCCTTTTTAACACTAATAGTTACAGCTCCGAGCCTTAAGATCGGGAGCTGTAGGATAAGGTTGGAACCTTTTTGGGTTTCTCCTGATTTTGCCAATGGGGAGAAGTCGTATAGACCCTTTCTCATAGTTTTGTGTTTTCTTTTCTTCCTCCAATGAAATGAGGAGTTAGCAAATCCGAAATTCCTGTCTCCCCACAATGCCTTGGAGGCTCATGTTGCCCATTTGGGACAGTGCATGGATTATTTTAGGACACCCGTTCCTCTGGAATTTCTGCTGTGGAGTGCACACTCCTAGCAGATATGCAAGGATCTGAGTCATGAAATCCTTCATCCGTGTGTGTCTTCGGGTTGACTGCTGTTGCACAGAGGTGGAGTTTATTGTTTAGGCTCTAGTAATCGTCATCTGATTGTAAGCGTAATGGAAAATCACTTCTAAAAGTCAGGTAACAAAAGGTGTAACCATCTTTGATTCTCAGGGCTTGAATTCTCTTGAATGTCATTTCATTCTTCCCTACAGCACAAGAGGAGGCATGACACCACACAGCCTCATTGTTGAGTTTGAGCTTTGTAACCTAAGCCTTGTTTTTTTTGTTTTTCTCCAAAGGCGTTTAAACAGAAATCACCTTCAGCTGTTTCCTGAGTTGCTGTTTCTTGGGACTTCTAAGCTCTACAGGCTGTAAGTAGACTCAGATCATTATTGTTGTTCTGGGTAATTCCTTCTGTTTTATTAAATGTATTTTGGATCTGTTTCCTTATGCTTTCCTGGAATCTGCTCACCAGTACATGACTGGATATAAGATTGTGCTTTTTTTTTTTTTCCCCTTTCCTAAGGAGATGTATGATTGGTTTTCTAGTGGTTGTAATTGCTTGTTTCATTTGGCTTATGTATGGGTCATTATAATTTTGTCCTTATTACTTGCTCATGTGTTGATGACATGTAGCTTACTTCTTTGCGGAAAGTGTCCGTCAAGTTCTGAAGGGAAGGCTGGCTGGTGTGCTTTCTCTGAAGAGGAAGTTGGCAGAGTTTTCTTAGAAAGATGGGGTTCTTAGTATCAGCTCTTTGATAGTGTTTCTGCACTTAAGTTGTAGTGTTTATTAGTCTAGAAATATTATTGTAACGTGTTAAAGGAGGCTTTCCATTTCCTTTTAAATTTTCAAAGGTTGCTCTTTATGCCAGAATTCCAAGCTCTGCAGTATACATGAGGTAAGCTGAGGATTTCATATCAAATATGTCAAAGAAAAGAAAGCTTTCTTTAAAAGGAACATAATGTGCGTATTAGGCAGAGTCAGCTTTTTCTCCCTGGAATGCTTGTTGGTTGAACTAGTATGTAATAAGGAATAGACATTTTGAAAGCTCTCAAAATTAGATTTTCAGGCATATGAATGGTTTTGTACAGATGGGAAATAAGCTCAAACGTGTTGGAAAAAGTAAATAGCAATGGTTATTGATGTTTGTGAATGTTGAGAAAACTCTGCTGGGATGTACAGAGAGCATTGTTAGAGTGGTCCCCACCTGGGTAGCAGAGATGTCTGATGTAGTTGGGTTTCTATGGAAGGTAAGTAGATTGCTTTTCCTGAACTTGACTTTGAGGTCAAGGCTCTATCGCCTACTGGTTCAATGTTTCTGTTACCAATTCCAGAAGTAGGACTATACGTCTTCCACTCCGTTGTAGCTAGTATCTCTGTTAGGTCATCCTGACCTGAACTCACCATAGAGAAGACTTTTCCAGTAGGTGAATGGGGATGCAGCCACCAGTGATGTGACAGATCTCTCGAGTCTAACTTTTCTGTAAGGACAGCTGAAGTCACCTAGCAGGATTTCTCCTCTGTGTGCCCCTACTGGTTAACTGGCCCAACTTAAAGAATTTTTTTAAAAAAAGAAAATCAAATCAAAAAAGCTTGAGATTGCCTATTTAATAAGAATGCTCTGGGGACTATATTTTACTAAGGAAATAGGATGTGAGTCCCTGTAAAGATTGTATGTGTTTATTGTATATAAATTGGAGCTATGGTGGCATAATGCCTAAAGCATTTGACTGCTAACCGGAAGGCTGGTGGTTCAAACCCACCAGCCACTCCTCAGAAGGGAGGTTGGGCAATCTACTTTGTAGTGATACCACCTCGGAAACCCAAGGAGGGGTCACTGTGAGTTGGATCTGACTTGACATCCGCATGTTGCATTGCTTGTGTATATAAATTGGTACTTACTTAAATATTTGTGCTTAAATTCTTAGACGGTCCATAGAGATGGTTTTCAATAGTATTTTCCTTTTTTTAAAATTGTGGTTTGGGTTAGTTTGCAGAGCGTATGAACTTTTCATTCAACAATTAATACACATGTTGTTTCGTGCCATTAGTTGCAGTGCCATTGATGTACCAGCAGTCTGCCCACTTCCTCCCTGGGTCCCTCCTCTCCATTCATGGTTCTTTCCTATCCCTCCAGCCTTCTGAACTTTGTTTCTGGGCAAATGCTGCCCTTTCAGTCTGGTGTAATTGAGTTTTCTGAGGAGTACATTCATCATGGGTGGTACTGCTCACTTTTTAGGCCTGTCTGTTGATTTACTGACAGATGATGCCTAGAGGTGGGATCAGTGCTGGGTTTGAAGGGTGCTAAGGGCCATAGTCTCCGGGTTTCCACCAGCTACTGTCAGATCAGTAGGTCTGGCCTTTTTTTTTATGATTTTGAATTTTGTTGTACAGTTTTCTCCCACTCTGTGGGATCCCAGTAACGGTAGTTGGGCACCATCTAGTTCTTCTGGACTTGGGTTAGTGGAGGCTGGGATTCGTGTGCTCCATTACCTCTTGGACTAATTGTTCCCTCGACAGTTTGATTTTCCTCACTCTTCTTTGCTCTGATATGGGAGAGACCAGTGATTTACTTTCTAATATAAATTGTGGTGAGCAGGGAGATTTTTAAAAATTGTCTTTAACAATACAGTCAGTGCTGTTCAACTGTTACTTTGCTGTTAGTGTGCATATAAAACCAATGCAGACAAGTTGAGGAAATCCTATGCCTTCTATATAGTTGTAAAGATAGAGTTTAAACTGACTGACTGTTCTCTGGGTTTGAAATTATTAAGCTAAAGAGAGGGAAATGTAAGAGGTAATTTCTAGTGTGTGTCTGAGAAAGAAGAATGTTTGAGTTGTCATCTAGCAGAACTTGAATGAATTCTCTTAGTGGATTTAAGGTGGTCTCATTCATTGCTGTATCTCCCCTTGGAAAATTCTATTCTAACCTGACATTTTGCCCTGTTTGACAATATCATGTAGTAGACAAAGGGATTTTCTCTTAATGTTTTGTTATGATTTTATAACTGTGAAGCTGCTATATGAAAGAAGGAGACGAAATCTTTAGGAAAATGAAAGATACAGAACCCATGTGTAAGGCAAGGCTTTGTAATTAATTACAGACATGTCATTGCAAATGGGAAAATGGACAGCTACAAAATGTGTTTGGCTTTATTATGTGCCTGCATGGCTCAGGAGATTCCCCTGGGGAGCACTGGGAGACAAAGTTGTGTTTGTGTACAGTCACTATGTGTTGGAATTGTCTCAATGGCAATGGGTTATTTTGGTTTATTTACATTATTTTTGCTGTTGTTATGTGCCATGGAGTCGGATCCAACTCTTAGCGACCCCTCCTTGGGTTTCCGAGGCCGTATCACTACTGAAGTAGATTGCCCCATCTTCCTTCCAAGGAGTGGCTGGTGGGTTTGAACCGCTAGCCTTCTGGTCAGCAGTCAAGTGCTTTAGGCACTACGCTACCAGAGCTCCTATTATCTTGCTACAAGTGGGACTTAAATGCTCTGACTGTCCTGAAGTTGTTCCTTTGCTATTTAGTGTTGCCAAAATGCTCCTGTTACTTAGAATTGGATACTGACTTGGGCACTGGGTGCATGTAAAAACAGGGTGTAATTGTTATCTGCGTTCTCAAACCAAAAATCTTCTTTTGAGTTGAGGAAGTATTGTCTTCCCTGAATTTCACTTAGTGGACTGTTAACAGGTTGTTTTTCTTGAGAGGATAAGTTTATAAGTTAATGTGACCAGTTTTTAATGATGGTGATTACTATTTGAATTAATAGCCATCATTAAAGGTCTTTCTTTAATAAATAGATGAGCAAACACTTGTGAAGCTGATGGTCTGGCTAGTACAATTTCTGAAAGGAAGGCTACATTTTCAGATTTTCTTTATGTAGTACAGGTGCCTAGTAGCTCACGGGGAAAAAAAGTTCTAGCAGATGGAAGAATGTGACAGGCCTATATATGTTAGAGGGACATTTTCAAATGTCCTTTAAAATGTTTAAAATGAATCTTTCTTTCACAAGACCTAAGTGACAACAAAATGGATATAGAGTTTTTGAAAAATAAGGGGAAAAATGTTGAGATAGGAAAAGTATTTGACTTGGTGCATATCTATATTAAGAGATCTGTAATTGTATCAACTAGTTAATGTAGTGGAGCCATGCATATCTAAAATTCATGCAAGGAACAATAAGTTCTACACTGTTTTCTTCTATAAATTTTGCTTAATGCTAATTAGCATCTCAACTTACTCCTTTGTTAACATATAGTGTCTTTTTCTCCTATTTAAGACTGGTTTTTTGTGACACGTGACCAATGAAAAGGTTTCCCAGGTTAATAAATACTTCGTGCACTGATGTTTGAATTTATCGTTGTTTGCTTAGATTAAAGCTAGTGTGATGTACTGGGCATGAGGGAGATTTTCTTTGAATTTGTGTAATGAATGATCACCATTTGACTCTTAGCTGAAAATGAGATGCCAGGTGAAGAAGCACACATGCTTTTTTGTGGACTCTAAACGCAATAGAAAAGAAAAGGAGGGTACACTGTATATGGACTATGATTCGACACGGTTGCTAGCCGCGAGCGGCCAAATATGCTTTTCCTTTGCTGTCTGATCCAATTTCTCTTCGGACGGGTTGAGAGAGCACTCCGTGTTCAGGTCAAGATGTTTGCTCAGAAATAGTAGTACAGTTGCAGCTGTGTTTGTTGGAGCTGGAGACTAGTTTAAACAGCATCACCATTTATCCAGTCCATTAACAGAACTCTGTAAAATAATACCAACTCTGCATAAACTACAGGACAGTGTCATAAAATTACAAGCACGTGTTGACAGATGGAAAGTGTAAGTAAGGGGTGTGTGATGGGTTGGAGTCTAAAAGAGACAGCACGTCCTTTTCTTCACTTATACAGATAGTCTGTCTTCCCCTCTGTGCCTCGTCCAGAACTCTGGTTCAATTTTTGTTTTATACCTAGGAGTGAAAAAAATGATTTTTCAAAGTAATGTGGGGCTGATTAATTAAACAAAGAGTTGCAGTTGAATTTTAAAATGGTTATGAGTGACATTTAGGAGGATCAGTGGATATTAATGGGTGGCGCATACACATCTTCCTGATAAATGTAGCCTTAAAAGCTGACTTACTGCTGAGTGATTTACACCTTCCTACTTGAATTTGCAACTACTAATCTGGGCTTGTTAGAGAAGAATTTCATTGGCAGCACTGCGCTTAGGCATTGGGTTATAAATATTTGTTTTGTGGTTTTCAGTTTATTTTTTGAGTATTATTATATTTACTCAGACTTCTGACATGGGCTTAAGTATCCAAACACTTTGCAGAAAGTCCTTTCTTTCCTACATCTAACAAAGCAAAACAA